AAAAAAAAAAAAAAAAAAAAGGCCGCACAGAGACACCTCCCCAGCCGCCACCACCCAGGGTGTCACCCGCTGAGGAGAGAGAGCAGCAAGGAGGCCCCTCACTCACAGGTGCCGGCTACAAGTGATCAGCCTGAAAACGTGATCGTCCCGCAGGGCGATGCACCCCATGTGAAACTGCTTCCCCTAGCAAGGAGTCCTCCTCTGCCCTTATAAAACACAACCTCCACCCAATATAGCTTTTATTGTGCTGTTAAAAGTTCTTGGCTGTCCTTCAGATCTGGCCAAAGCGGTTGGGGCAAAGATAAGGAAAAAAAATAATAATATACATAAAATAAAGGGAGAGAGGGGAAGGGGGAAAAAAGGGGGGGGGGGAGGTGGCGGAAAAAAAGGGAGAGAGGCCCCAGCCCTTCTAAAGGAAAGCGAGGCCTGCTTAGCAGCAGGCCCAGCCCGGCAGCACGGTGACGAGCGGCCCAGCTGGGAGCCGGGCCGGGTGCTCCAGCCCCGGAGCGCCCGTGGCGCCGCGTCGGGCCTGCCCAGCAGCCCCGGCCGGGCAGCGGGGCGCAGAGCCGCGCTGCCCTGCGCCCCGAGCCGCCCGCCCTCGGCCCGCGCCTCTCCCTGGTTATCCAGGGGTCGGGGGGCTCTCGGGAGGGGGTTTTCAAATGCCACACACACACATATGTAGTTTCCCACATTTAATGCATTTTTTCTTGTCAGACCTGGGGAAGATTAAAAATGCTAGAATTTGGGAACGAGAAATATATTTTTACACTGCAGAGCTAATGGCTGTGTCCTATGACAGCAGTCTGTGTATTATCGCCCTTCATGCTCTCTTCTGCGTGTGTATGTGTGTGTGTACATATATGTATGTACATGTGTGTGAGGTGTGTATGTGTATTTATTTATATGTATTGCTTCGTGGAGCTTGGCAGGTGAAGGAGGTACTTCACACTTCACATTTGTTTCGAGAAATGTAGACTACAGCCCTCAACCTCCACTTTACACGCAGCCTTCCCCTGGGCCGCTTACAGGATAAGAATTCTACTTTCGACCGGCTTTTATGTATCTTATGCTCTCTTCCTGCTTCCCGACAGAAAGAAAAAAAAAAATTAAAAAGGTTTTAGAAGTTGTCGCCACTAATCGCCAGAATTAACTTTTCCTCCCTGGAGGGGACAAGAGAATTGCAGAGGAGAGAGGAAGAGGGGAGCACGGTCCCGGCTACGGCTACAGCAGGGAGGCGAAAGAAAGAAAGAAAAAGGCTGAAAAAATCCCAAGGAGCAGATTCTGTCCCCTCCCCCTACAGAGCACTTGGCCCCTTTCAGGTTCCAGCTTGGCCCCTCGTCTGAGGAGAGCGGGATCTGGCCAAGTAAAGGGGGTAATTAAGTTTGAGCAAGTCCCCAGGCTCTAGCGCGCTCTCCTCTGCCCACCGCGGAGCCGCAGAGGTTAAAAAGCAACCAGAGCTCATCCCTCGGTTCGGGGGGAGCTGCGACCATTTTTTACAGTATTCCTGTAATTTGTCGGCGAGAGGAAATGCCTCCTGTCTATTGAACTTCGCCTTAACGTGGGCAGCCGAAGCATGGGACTAGTTTTACTGCTAGATGCGCTCCGTCCCAGCCCAGCTGCTCCCGGCCTCCTTCCCCACGCCTGTACACAACAGGAGCACACGGGATTTTCCTCGGGATTCCTGAAAACTTCCCAGTTCCCGCAAGCCTCGACTTTTTTTAAAAAAAATGCATATTTACTGGTTGCTTTCTGTAATTGTTAAATGAAAACCAGCACCACTCACACGAAGGCGAGGGGAGAGCCCCCCACACACACATAGGCACCCCCCTTTCAGACCAGAGCGAGGCGAGCAGGCTGGGGCTCCGCTCCGACTCAGAGGAATCTGATTGCCGTCCTTTTAATCTGTTGACACTATCGCCCACATAAACAGGCCGCCATCGATCTTTTCATTAGGTGATCAAGTAACAAACAGAGCAGGTGAAAGACAAGAGCGGGAGGGTGCTCGGCCTCCCGCAGCGCGCGGCCGGGCGCCCTCACGGCGGGCACAAGTTGCGCGCGCTCCTTACGCGGGCTCGGCGCGCGCCCCTGCAGCCTCAGCCCCGCCAGACCCCGGGTGCAGACACCCCGCGCTGCAGCGGCGCGCGGTGCGGAGCGGAGCGACCCCGACCCCGCTGCCCGCGCCCCGCGCTACGGGGGCAGCCGGGGGGAAAGGCAGCGCCGAGCCCAGCGCGGTGCCGCGGCG